CGACTGCACAGTGCAGTGTGAATGCAAATGCACCAGCTCAAATGTAAACACAAGGTCATGAATATTGGTCCCCAACTGAACCGAGTCTACCGGACTATCTGGTGTGAAAACAACCCTAGACGAAAAGCTGATTTATTCTCTGCAGGATGTCAAGATATTCATTTTCATTGTTGCAGTTGTGTGATGAAAATCAGGACTTTTTGTTCTCGCACTGCCTCCGAGAACCCATTCTGTGCACAAGTTTCTGGCAGAACTTATTTCTCGCAGGGATGTGCACCAAGTATTGTATGACTGGTCAGAACCTTTGTGTGGGTATTTATGTGGAAAAGTATAGTACACTGGTGTCATTTCGCTTCAAATTTGGGTTCAGTGGGGGTTGGGTTTTGAATAATTAATTTATAATTAATTTTGAATAAAGTAGATGTGATTTCCTGCATTGTTGTGTATTTTAACAGGTTGTTAAACATCTAGGTTTACTTACATTTGTAAACAGTCCGCTCCTTTCGAGCATCCTGTCCCCTGTCTCCCTTACTTGACGGTACCGAGCCTAACTCTTCTCCACTGAATTCATTGTCCTGCTTGTTGTTATCTGACTCCACATGTGAAACCTCCAGGCACCTCCTCTGTCTGTTCATGGCGGCTGCCTGTGGGCTCCTGCCCACCTACAACTGCCTGATTAGCTTGGCACTCACCCCCACCACTCGCTCGCTCTTGCTCCAATCCCGGTTGCCACTGCCTGGAGGTGCTTCAATTCTCTGTTGTCCAACTATGGACAATGAGAAGCTTTCTTTTAATGAAAGTAAATTGGACTGTCTTTTCAACATTTTGATAGCTGTTATTTTGACAAATTAGAGCCATTGTTTTGATAAGTTATGTGAATAATACACATCAAACATTTATCTTGTACTTTGTATTTTAATAATCGAAACTTTATTAATGACCTACATAAAATGTCAAACTGATATACAATTTAGTTGTGCTGTTTAATTATTTTTGAGTTTTTTAATAAAATTGCACAACAACTTTTGATTTTTAGGAGAGTAGATTTTTTTAAGGGTAGAAGCAGATGTTTTTCTTTACAATTTGTGTTTTTGTTGGATGTAACTGGGACCCTGTGTGCATAGTTTCATCCCACCCCATGTACCACGTGTGTGGTGTGTATGACAAATAAATCTCTCTGACTCTGAAATGCTACCTGAAGAGGCAGCTCGTATGTGATATTAAGAAGCTCGTAAGTGGCTGTTGTGTTCAAAATTTGTGCTTATCCAATTATTTTCAGATTACATATCCAATATAGGTTTTATTCATTCAAGGCAGTCAAATTTGTTCATAACTTTATTATTAGTAAGCCTGAGAGTTACTGGATCCAAGCCAGAGTGCACCATGTCAAAATAAGAGAGTTCCCTGATCTTGTTCTGGCAGGATCTGGCTCAAATTAGGCCCTGGCTTCAACTACTCTGCCAAGCCTGTTAGAAAATACAGTCATCTTTACAACAGATCCAGTACAACTTGCATAGTCAAAAGCTTGTGGAGAAGGCACGGGGGGCATTGCTAGCCAGGAGGGAATCCCTACACGGTCTCAGCCAGGGAGTGTAGGGACACATTCCTGGACCATCTGTCAGAAAAGCTGTCTGTCTCTTCCTGACAAATTTACAAATTAGTGCTTGCCTTGGTTAACATAAACAGAATTACCAGTTATCTTGGCCTTACGTCATGTAGCAAACTCAAGCTCAATATGTTAGCTTGATTGAGTCACAGTCATTTTTGTGTTTTTAAAGGTCAGTTGGCTTTAGCAACCATCTTGAATTGGGTTTACTCCAAAAAAAATCAGTTGTAAATCCAGTGATCAGGAGTTTTTATTGGTACCAGGCAGACACACATGCACAGACACACTAAATCATTATATTTTGCCTTTGGTAGTAGTATCCTGATGCATATGGAAAAATCTAAAAAAGTTAAGTCAGGTCCTCTGGACGTTAAAAAAAAAAATTGTAGAAACGTTTTGTCTTCCATCTGAAAGACTTCTTCAGTTAAAAAAAAAAAAAAAAAAAGAAACGTTTTGTCTTCCATCCGAAAGATTTCTTCAGTCAGACTGAAGAAATTTTTTGCATGGAAGACGAAACATTTCTAAAAAAAAATTTTTGAACGTCCAAAGGACCTGACTTAACTTTTTTAGATTTGGTAGTGGTAGTTTCCTTACAGTTTACAAAGTGACACTTAATATAGCATAAGCCCTCTTTTTGCTTGTTTTTTTTTCATTCACATTTCCATAAAATACTATGGATGTTCCGTACAAGTGACTTTTATATAACAGTACCTCATGTAATACTTCTTAACAGTAAGTAAGTGGCAGCCAGTGTGATGCATTCACTGTCCTCGGGCAAGGTCTAGTCTCTCAGAGAGCTGATACAAGATGAGATGAGGTGGAATCGAACCCAACCACGTAGTCATGTGGGTTCAGTGGCATTTTACTGAGTCAGAAAGCTTTGTGGAAGTTTATCAACAGGAACTCATTGATGCTCTGGGGCCAGAGGCGTCTTTGGGGAAACTTCTACTACAGAGGCAGCGGTCATTAGAGGACTATGAACCCTATCGTTAGCCCAATTGTTTTTTTGTTGATCAGCATGAAGTTCAAGGTTCTTTATTGTCATTCGCATCACATGTGGTACATGAGGTGGGACAAAATTGTGTACTCAAGGTCCCAGTTACACCCAGAAATAGCAAAAATACTGTATAAAGTATAAAAAAGTATATAAGGATGTAAGATATACACTAAGATATAGGCTAAACGATACACTAAAAGATCTAAGATATACACTAAACACTAATAATGTAAAATAGAATGGTATATTAAATAGCAACCTGCAACTGTGCCGAAGGGATGAGGGGGTTGTTTAATGCTAAGTAAGCACATAGTGTATGTTCAGAGACTTCATGGGAAGACTGTGCAAGAAGAGAAAAGTCTGCTCAATCAGAATATTTCTTGTGTTTGTTTACACAGCATCAAAATGCAGGAGCGATAAGGGAATCTGTGAGAGAGTGATAGAAGCTGTGTTACAGTTAATTCAAACAAAGAGACCTTGCCAGGACAAGAAAAGAAGACGCCACAGATGAAGAGCACACAAATAGTGATCAGATTAGACCTTCTTTACTTTTCAAACCACACACAGGCAAGTTTACCACAGCACTGCACCAACACCATGTGTGGCTTTTGGAGCTGTGTAGACTAATTGGGTTTTTAAGTGAAATATTTATCTTGCTTGATTGGTATAAGGCTGTAGCTGCTTGTGGCTTCCTTCACCACAGTTTTCTATGTTTTATCTTGAATGGGTCAAAATCCAGTTTCATACTTGGATTATTTTACAATGCAGCCATTTTTAAAAAAATGTGCAGAATAACATAAAATTTGTTAACACAGTAACAGACTGGCATTCTCTGCTGTCCAACTTCTGTGAGTACAGAACATTTAGGCTACAAAAATTGACAAAAATCAATTAGAATCTGCAAAAGTGTGGATTTTTAAGTTTTAGAAATCGTCTATTACATAAAGATCTGAAGAATGTCACTACCTGCTGTTGTTGATTAGATTTTCTCAAAATCACAAGTTGACTTTCTATTTTCTTGAGAAAAGATTATTGTGGTGCCAAAAAAAGAGTGATTTTTGTGTTGTACTTTGTTGCATCATTTGGGGAGTGGTGGGACAGAGGTTAGAGAAGGTGAGCCTGTGATGGGAAGGTCGCTTGTTCGATTCCCTGTACCGAAATCAAAATGTGGTTGGGAAAAGTGAAGCACCCACACCTACCTCCACCCTCATTTGCCCCACTCTGGGCATTTTAAGGCTATTAATCTCCACCATTTGCTTCCTTGGGCACCCTAGATGGTAGCTCTCTGCTCCACACAGAGGGCTGTGCTAGCTTGGTGGTCTGTGGTTGTGTCAGGAAGGGCAGCCGTCATAAAAATAACTGCCAAATCATCTTGGGACTCAGTTTGCAGTGGCGACCCCTGAAGAAGGGAGCACTTGAAATAAAAAAAGAAAAACTCTAGCATCATTTATTATTGCTGTTATGCCATCATGATTATCCAGATTTCTTATGAATATACAGCCCTCTTCTTTTACTCTTCTTTTATTGGAATCGTAAAAATAATTTGCCATCATGAGAAAACAACTTTTCTAGGTCAAAATAACTAAACATGTTAATGTTATCTTGAGAAAACAACCTCCTTCAGCTACAGACAATGTGATAAATTTCCAAGCATGCCAACTCTCCAACCTGCATGGTTTTACCCTCAAATCAGCCGCATTAAAGGATTTATTGAATCATTATTTACAGAAAAAAAATTCATCCATCCATCGTCTTCCACTTGTCCTGAAAATAAAATTAAATAACCAAATTAGCAATTTCATTATAGTTTGTTATAAACTGTCAGTCTTTTATGTGGAAATACTTGTTCACTTTATTTTTCAGAACGTGGTTGGACATTTTCTTGTTAAAAATATCCCATTTAAATTAAGGCTTCTGCAGAACTGAAGATGTCAATCAACCGTTTGAATCAGTTGTGTTGAGCAGAAATACATCTAAAAGATGCAGGAAATTGAATTTTGAGTGAATAATTGTGTAAAGGATAAAAATAACAAAACTACAGTAAAATGTGTCAGATATTCTGACAAGGACAGAAGTAGAACAGAATAGTTTCTTGAAGAGGAACTGAGAGGACTTTTCAGCAAATACCCGTCAGTGTTGCCAGAAAGAAAAGGCTGATTTTCTCACAGAACCATTCTATGAATTTTCAGCCTGACATGTTTATCACTGAAAGGAGCCCATGACACTGAAGCAGTGATGTCATCCCAGATTACTGTCTGCGCTGGGTGGATTGTAGCCTTGAGAGCTGCGCAGCCTCAAGTGGGTTAGCGTCTGGTGTCTTCAGAGCTTCATTCTCCTCACCCACCCATCCTGACTATCTCTCTCCTTCCCTTTCCTCCCACTCACGTTTCTCTACAGCGGGCTGTTGCAGCAAGGCAGCATCATGGAGGCTGGATGCGTGGTTGCCGCGGTGATTGAGAATGCTGCTTCAGGACCTCTGGGAGAACCAGGAAGTAGTGACGTCCTTGAGGGGTGAGTTATTCTTCCTCTCCCCCCTTCTTTGCTTCATGTCAGCTGCTCTGGATCATGAGAGGACAATAAGGAGCAACGCTGAGAGGATAGCGCGTGTTTTTGTTGCTGGATGAGATGTTTTATGCTTGTGTGTGCATTTACGTTTACATCTGAGGTGCTGCATGGGGGAAAGCTGAAGCAGTGAAGGCTTTAGCTTAAAATGACCCAATTAGGGTGACAAAAAGGCAAACTAGCCTCATTATTACAGCTTCTCTAGATTGAAACATCCATCTTCAGTTTTGTTTCTGTGCCTCGTTGAGTCATTTTAGGTCACATAAATGACATTGTGTGTCCAGACCTCACGTCCTGATACGACAGGACTGAATCACTACAGTAAATCTAAGCTCCCTCCCGTCTTTGTTGCTCATAAAAGTTTGTCTGAAAGGACCTCACCCTCCACTTCACTGAATGCACTGTGTCACATTTCAGTGGACGGTTTTGTGAAGCACTCCCTGTGGGTGGATTGTCTTTACGCCTCACTGAATAGATGAGCACTGAGTGTGCAGAAATGACTCCGACTGAGGAAGCTTCTGTATGTTCCAGACTCATTTAAAGGTTTATTTCGCTGCATTGTTTCAAACCTGAATGAATGACAGTGATTCTGAATTCCCAGCTTTAATGTTTTTCTGGGCCACATTGCTGCAATGTCATGATTTGAAGCCATTTGATGACTTGTTCCTCACTTGCTCCATCTGGTGGAGTTTTTGCAAAGCTGCACATCATATTTATAAATTCCACCCTGGTAATTCAGTTCAGTTTATTTATAAAGTCATTTAAAACTCCCCAGTGGAACAAAGTGAAATACAATAAAACAAATTTACAACTAATTCAATAACGCTAGAATTAAAATAATAAAAATCAACACCTAACATGAAGCAAAAGCCAAAGAATATAAATTGGGGTTTAAGGGAACATTTTAAAGGAGCAATTCTGGCCCCACCACCCACCCAGTTTTTGATAGTCAGCTGATCAGCAGACCTGGGAGACTGGGCAGGTACGTAAGGATGCAGCAAAAATGCAGATGAGCAGGATCCAAGACCCCAAGAAGAAAGATAAAATTATAAATAAAATAATTTAAAAATGGATTTGCAACTAACAGAGATTTTAACACATGTGCCCTGTAATTAAAATTTATTGTGCCAGTATCAGACAACAGTTTAATTCCTCATTGTTGTGATTATGCAGCAATGGGCTGCAGTCCACTGATCTGGACAAGGACGATGCTTTACCTCAAGCTACAAACAGCCTTCCTCCAGAGGAGAAGCAACCACAAGAGACATCCACTGCCATGGTATACACACACACACACACACACACACACACACACACACACACACACACA